AGTACCCGCCTGGGCTGGGGCAGATGAGCTGGCTACTGGGCAACCCCATTCCTGCCCTTGTGCTTCTGAGCAGCCAGCGCCTGGGGTGTCTCAGGGCAGCCAGTGCCTAGGGCATCTCCGGGTAGTGGCCTTACTGCCTTGGCTCCCTCTTGGTTCTCTTTGCCAATTTTCAGGTCTCGTTAGTGGACATGTGGTCCCGTCAGAGAACAAGGAAAGATCTGAGTGCAGGGAGTAGAAGCCTGAGGGCAGGTGGGTACCCAGGGCTGGACCTGCAGCCTGGGCAATGGCCACTTGGACCGCAAGCTGGTTGTGGGCAGGCTGTGGGGAGTGGGCCGAGGTGCGAACCCACAGCAACCCAGGAAGGGGCAGCTGTTTGAGAATATCTTGGGTAGGGACCTGTAGGACCCCAGCTCTCCCTGCAGCCCTGCCTGATGTGCCTCTCAAAGCTCATGAATTCCGTTGGTGCTGACACAGCCCCAGTGGGCCGTGGGCAGGTCTCCGCCAACAGGCTGGCCGTTTGCATGCACGTTCCTGCCTCACCATGAGGGGCATCCTTGGGTCCCTGGGGCTACTACTGGCCCCAGGTATGTGCGCCTTGGTGGGAGGGTGAGCTCTGGGGTGCAGCCTGGCCCTGGCTACCCAGCCCAGGGCTCGGAGGTCCCTGTGCCAGAGGAAGGCTCAGGTACCCACTCCCGTAGAGATAATCCTGAGGCCCCTGGGCTGCTGCTGCAGTGGTATGTCACAGGGGGGCGCTGTCGTCCCTGTGTGGGCTGAGGCCAAGGGGCTTTCAGGGACTCTTGACGTTATCAGTTGGAAAGGCTGTCAGATTTGCGCCAATTGTGTCAGATTGCCTTTCTTTTTAATTTTTAGAAGAATGTGTCTCACTTTGACATTTCTGAGAGCAGGCAGAATGCGAAGTTGCGCTCTGTGGATTAAGTTTCATGCTCCTTTACCCTCTGGGAGGAAAAGACAAGTGATAGAACAGCGAAATAAGGCAGCCGGTGGTGTAACTGATATCACAGATCGGCTCTTGCACAAGAAGGCCGCAGCCTCTCCACGCAGGGCGGGCCTGGGGCCAGAGGAGATAGGATAATGTGATTATTCTCAATTAGATTAATAAAGAATAATTAGATGTTATAAATCAAGTAATCATAGAATATTGTCATGGGAAAAATATGTAGCTAGAATTAATTAGTTTTCAAATAAAGCATTTATTTTAATTGCTTGAAATGATGGAGCCCTTAATTGTCAATGCGTCATTTTGGCCTGGCCTGAGCGTTTTGGTTGTTGTAACAACGTGACGGGTTTGTTCCCTGCAGTTCTGGGGAAACAATAGAGAAGAGCTTGATTGCATCACCTCAGAATGAGCCTTCTACTGGTGAGGTTCTGGAAACTCCCACCAGGCCGCAGGCAGGTGGCAAGTGTGGGCCAGGCTTCCCTGGCATTTGCCCGAGGCCCGTATGCTGTCTGTGAGTGTGCCTGTGAGTGCGTTGTGCTTGCTTTTGTATATGTGCCTGTGAATGTGTGCATGCACGTGTATGTGTGTGCCTGTGTGTGCATGCATGTATGTGTGTGCCTGTGGGTGTGTGCGTGTGTGCATGCATGTGAATGTGTGTATATGTGTATGTCTGTGAGTGTGTGCATGTGCGTGCAGTGCATGTGAATGTGTGTATATGTGTGTGCATGTGAATGTATGTGTGTGCCTGTGGGTTCTGTGTGCATGCACATCCATGTGTGAATGTGTGTGTATGTGCATGTATGTGCATATGCTTGTGCGTATATGATTGTACCTGTGAATGTGCATGTCTGTGTGCCTGTGTGTATATGCGCATGAGCGTGACATATGCGTGTCTCTGGACTGTATGTGGGATCCTGTGTGGAGGTGGCCTGTCAGGTGCCTCCCCTGGGGGCAGTTTTCTGTGGGGTTGCAGTACTGGGTCTGCATTTGAGGATTTCTCCAGGAGCGTGGCCCTGCAGCCCTGTGCCCCTTGCCAGCTGGCCTGCTCTTATGTCACCGGCGCAGCACAGAAGACATTGGCTTCTGAAGGCCCAACAACAGCTCCCTCTGAACTTCTCCATAGCCAGCCTGCCTGGTGCAGCTGCTCCATCATTGGCGGCCTGGCCCAGCCACAGGTCCAGACAGCTTATGTGTCACACACAAGAGCAGGGGCCACTGGTTCCCTGCCCCCTGCAGGAGGCTGCCTTTGTGCTTGCAAAGAGTCAGATGGCTTTTCACCAAATTTGTGAGAGGCTGTTAGGCTGAACCCCCCGACTGCCTTCAAAAAAAGGAAAAAAAAAAAAAGATGAGTCTGCACCCTGCCCCCACAGAGTGTATCAGAAGTGCTGACGGTGGCCAGAGCCCTTACGCTCAGTGGGGTGGGGGCTGAAAGCTGGCCTGTCTGAGGCCCATGGACAGTGGTGTGGGGACCTCCTGCTGTGGCACGAGTCTTTGGTGACACTCCTCCTGGCATGGCCTGCACAGGATTCCGTGGCCCAAGTTGTGCCTGAGAGCGTCAGGCCAGGCCCCTGGCTGGGCCAGGGTCTACAAGCTGCTGGCTGGGCTTCCTGGGCACCTCAGGGCCTAAGCGACCCCAGGGCGGGCTCTTGCTACCAGGCCTGTATTCCTACTCTCAGGGCCAGGGTCCACCTGGCCCCCTTGGTCCCCAAAGACAGGGCCTGGAGAGCTGGGTGTTGGGTGCACCCAGGCTCCCATCAGGGTGAGAGATGAAGACTCCCCCTCCTCCCAGCAGCCTCCAGGCCAACAGGCTGCGGCTGCAGCTGCCGACCAGGCCTTGGGCCCCCTCGGTGCCATGGCCTTGGCCTGGACAGGCTGGCAGCAGGGAGGAGGGCCTCTCCCAGCTGGGTTCTGGGACAGTCCCCAGCGTACGCAGTGTCAGCCAGTATGCCTGAATCCAATGCCCCTTCCTTCTACCGCGCATTCAGAGAAGTCATAGCCACCATGATGTCAGCCCTGGTGGGGTGTCAGGTGTGTTCCTAGGACCCCTCACTGCCTTCTGAGCACACTGAGAGTGGCAGCCTGGCCACGATCTTTTCTATAGAGGGGGCTGCTTTGTGCCAGGGCCAACTGGCCCCAGGGCATCAGGAGGGGAGGAGGCAGAGGGCAGGGCAGGGCAGCCAGAAGAAAATGTCTGAAGTAGCATCCCCTGCAAAGGGGCCAATACACCAAATCACAAAACCCACTTGTCTTTAAGAAACCTACTGTGCTCCACGGTTGCTGTGGAGAGGGAATGTCCCTGTTAACTGCTGACATGGCAGCTTTGGACATGGCCCTGATCCGTAAGTCCCACATGATGGGCTTCCATCCAGACGCGTCCGTGTTTTCCCAGCCTGGAGCCTCACTGAACCCTCATCCCGTGTGGAGGACGCGTGGTCAGTGCTCTCAGGGGGGGCGGACTGGGAGCAGGTGTCTGGTAAGAGGCAAATAGCCGGCAACTAAGGCCTGAGTGGAGCCCACAGGCCAAGTCGCCTTACCTTTTAGTGCACACATGCAGCACAGATGGAGGCTAAGGGACCAGGAAAGAAGCAGAGAAATGCCAGGGCGGGGCCTGGCGGTGATTTCTCAGACACCACCAATGCGCCATTGAGAAAACACGGGCCCCTTCGAGCAGCTGCCTTGCCAGGGCCACTGTTCCAAGGGGCGGGTTCCAGGTGGAGGCCCTGTGTGGCCACATCTCAGGGATGCATGGGCCTGCCCAGCAGGAGGCCACCGAAGGGGGCCCCTAGCATCAGGCAGCTGACCCCACACAGGAGTCACAGCCGGGCCTACTGCTGCCTCCTTTTTCTGTAGATTTTGCTGGAAGATCTCTTGGCAGGGGTAGGGGTGATACTTAAGGTGGCTGTGGGGCAGGGTTGGGATAGCCACACAGGGTGGCCTCTGGCCTTCAGGGGCTGCCTCCCCACTGGCCAGGGCTCCTGAGGCAGTTTGTGGCCCGTCTGTCCTGAGTGGTTGGGCCCCTTGCCCACACATCGCTGCATTGGCCGCTCTGCCTCTCAGAGGCAACGTGCAGGCCCTGGAGTACTTTAGATCTGAGCCACCACCAGCTGAGGGGCCTGGAGCCACCTCACTGGACCCTTCCATGCCTCGGTTTCCCCAGGTGTAAAGAGAGTGCCACTTCCTTGCAGGGTGGTCGTGGAAATTAGAAATTATAGAGGTCCAGGCCTGGGGTCTACATGGCTATGACTGACAGTTTCTGCAACTTGTGGCAAGGGTCTTGCTTGTTCTTTGTCTACCTTGGGACCCCGTGCACCTCTCATGCATCTCTTTGTTTATTTGTTCAATGTTTGCTGAGCAGGGCGTCCATGCAGGTGCAGGCCATCGTGGCCCCTGCTCCCGAGCTCACAGTGGGGCAGAGGTGGGCAGCATGTCACTGTGCATCATTACTTCACTACAGGGAAGAAGAGGAGCGAGTGCTCAGAGGGGAGACTGAGTTTGCTGGGAGGGCTGCTTGGGGAGGGCTTCCCCAAGGGAGAGAAGCTGGAGTGAGGCCTAGGCAGAGGGTAGGACTCAGCCAGGCCTGGGCCAGAGCCGGAAGACGCTGGTGTGGCTGGTGGGACCCATGGAGCAGGGGGTACAGCCAGCAGGTGCCCTGAAAGTGCAGGGCTGTATGCAGGGAAGAAGGCCAAGGGCGAGAGGGGCCGCTGTGCTTGTCCAGGGACAGGGAAGATGTGGCCAGGGTGGTGCCGATGGGGTGCAGAGGCTGTTAGGCAGAGTGGAAAAGTAGTGAGGGAGGGTGGTATCCAGGGAGGGCTCCCAGATCTCGGCAGGAGCAGCTGCCAAAGAGGCCGGCACTAGGAAAGGATGGTCTCCGTGTTCTCAGCTGGTGCCCCCTGCCCACACTGGGAACCAGTCTCCTCTATTTTGGGGAGGAACAAAGAGAGGTCTCACCTTAACCCGAGAGGGGCAGAGGGCCATTCTGTGGCTGAGGCTGACTTCATGGAGGACAGGAGGAGTCGCTCACATGCCCTCCCTCTGTCCCCAGGCGACTGCACCCTCAAGCAGCATGGCAGCCCCCACCCGGCCTCCACCACTACCAGACCCCCAGTTTGTGCTCCGAGGCACTCAGTCGGCCGTTCACGCACTGCACTTCTACAGAGGAACCCAGGGTCAGGGATGCCCGCTCCTCCTCTCAGGGTGAGTAGCTGCTGTCCAGAGCCCGACTCTGGGGGGCTGGCCCAGGGGGTGTTACATGGCCACAGGCCTCACAGCGAGCCCAGCCCTCAAGGGGACAGAGCCCTCATCTATGGCAGGGGGGCTCTGGACGCCCAGACTCTACTTCCCCTCTGTCTCCTTTGGACCTCATGCCCCAAGGTGGGCCGGGGAACACGCCCCATTATACATGCTGCAGCAAGCACAACCTCGCCCAGCGGCTGTGGCCATTGGGGCTGGCTCTCAGGCCAAACCTGATCACCCCCTTCCTGGGCCTGGCCTGGGCCCATCCAGTTCATATTTTTGAATAGCTCGGCTATCCTTTCCCCTCCAAGAAGCAAAGCTCGGCTCCGCTTCTGCCTGGGCTACCCTGAAGGCCCATTTCCTCACAAGCTGGGGACTAGAGGCCCCAAAGGACCCCTCAAGCCTTCCTCTGGAAGAGGAGTACTTCGCCAGTTTCACCCTAGGTTCATATCTAGAGCTGTCAGCTCTTTAAACTAAAAACTGCTAGCCTGAGCCCCAGCTGGGTTGCCTATTTGGCCCCTCTGAGCTTGCATAAGGGGACTGCCTGCCTCTAGCGCTCGCCTGACCCTGTACCTCTTTGTGTCCAAGACAGATCTCTTAGCGGCCTCGTGCACATCTGGAGCCTGCACACACGGAGGGCACTCACCACCCTGGATGGCCATGGGAGCCAGTGTGTGACCTGGCTGCAGACGCTGCCTCACGGGCACCAGCTTCTCAGGTGGGTCTTGGTAGCAGCACGGTGGCTGCCTGTCTGGCTGCACATGGCATCCCAAAGGAGCCGAGTTGTGGCCCCCAGTGGGTTCCAGAATCTCAGATGGAGGCCCTGCGGCATCAGAGGGTACCCACAGCTGCCAGGGTAGGCTGGCATCCTCGGTGGGGACAGCTGTGACCAGAACAGGGGTCAGGGAGGGCCCAGACAGCTTGGACTTAGCATGGGAAGGAGCACAGCACCCAGGTGTCCCTCCGTGATCCCCTCTCAAGCAGCCTTCCTGGATTCCAGGACTGGCCTTTTGCTGCACTTTGTTCTGGAGGTACTGTTGTGTAGGATGGAGAAGTGTGGGCCTGCCTCAGCCCATCCCAGCCCGCCTGCCCTCTCCTCCTCCACACTCCCTTGCTGGTTAAGCAGGGTGGGCCATGACCTCTGCCCAGCCTCCGCCATCATCACCACCTCTTCTCCCTGATCTTGCCTGGGTTACTGCACTGCTCTGAGCCTCATCTCCATCCCCCCCGGGTGTACCTGTGTTGTCCACCCCCTACCCCAGGAAGTCAGGCGTGCTGGAAGGTGGACCAGGAATGCCGCCCTCAGGTTGCTGTGGCAGAGGCGTAAAGGATGCCTGGAGTGATGGGGCTGGTGACATTGAAGGCAGTAGCTGCAAGCCCAGGCGAAAGACAGGAGAGGGGTGGGGCTTTACAGCGGGCACCTAGGTTTCTGGTTGGGAGCCTGGGCAGGGGTGATAGCCACTGTTGCCAAGGGGAGGAGAATGGGGTGAAGCGCAGGCTTGGAGACCAGAAGGCTGGGGACATGGCAGGGAGATGGCCTGCCGCCCACCAGAGGCCTGTGGTCCCAAAGATGGGCCCATTCGCCCACCTTTTCCTCCAACTCTGTCGGGTGAGTAGGGCAGGATCACAGCTGTTGGGCCACGGGGACCTCAAGAAACCAAGCCCCAAGGAGCTGGTGGCGCTCGGAGCTGGGACCCTGGCCGAGTCCTCCTCTGCCAGGTTCTAACAGCACCTCACCTGGCTGTTCCTACGGGAAGCTCCCGAGGTCTTCATGGCCTGCACGACTGCTGAGCTGTGGGACACAGGTGGCTTGTGAAGGTGACACTCACACAGGACCCACTGCTGGCCTCGACGCCAGTGTGCTTGGAAGACCTACCTCATGGGGCGCCATGACTCCTCAAGCCTGCAGCATCTTCACACACCAGTTTTGCTTCTGCAGTTTTCCTGCAGTGACTGTTGTGATCAAGCCCAGCCCCACGACCTTCTCCCGGGGGTTCTGCAGCCCACCTGTCCTGCCACCTCCCGCCCAGTAGCCTTCCTCCAAGGCAGCTGGGCCCGTGTGTATTTGTTTTTTGGTTCCCTAAAAATCACTTGGGCATTTGCCATGTCTAGGCTGCCTCCCTGGGGGGAAGGGACCACAGAGGAGGCTGGTCCCCATTGGAGTGTTGGTGCCAGGAGCAAACCCAAGGACAGGTCTCTGGGTACCAAGTGCCAGCTCCGGCCCCTCCTGCAGGACAGCCCGAGGGCCAAGCTGTGGCCAGAACACAGGGGCACGTCGAGCCCTTGGTCCTGTTCTAAGACAGCGTGTCCTGGAGCAGGGCTGCTGCAGCTCCTTTGCAAGATAGCCTTCTCCCTGGGAGGCAAAGACTGGTTTCCAGGGTGACAGCAGAGCTAACCCTAGAGCACACCAGAATCCGGGGCCTGATCCACACACCCAGTGTGGGGCTGCCTTGCAGGACATTGGGAGCACCACAGAGGCACCAGGTCTGCAGCACTCAGGCTGGCTGGCTGCAGGTGGAACGGGTTGGCAGGGGAGGTCAGGGGCTGGCACTCCCAGTGGAGGAATGCAGTGCTGTGAGTGGCTGTGTGCGCCGGGTAGCTGACTAGTGGGTCTCCCGCTGCAGCCATGGGGAGTGGCCAGAAAGGATGCCTAGAGCCAAGGATGCCAGGTAGGAGGTTGGCCAAGAAGCAGCAGGAAGGACAAGGGGCCAGTGGGTAAGAGGAGAGTTGGGAGGGGCTTCTCTGCCTTCTTATGGGGAGATGGAGGGATGGGACAAGCTACAGACCAGGAGGATGGGCAGGGAGCCGGGCTGCTGGACAAGGCTGTTTTCTTTGATCACAGTGACTCTTGCCCTTTGTGTGAGGTTCACTGCCGCCGGCCTGGGAATTGTCAAACCCAGCTTGCCTGCTCTCCTGAGCACCCTCTGCTCCCACGGGGGCTGTAGTTGGTCTTGCTGGATTTGCTGTTCTCCGTTCTCAGGGCATTTGTGTACCACTGCCTCCACCACCAGACCCAGAACTCCAGAAGGGCAAGACCCTTTTCCTTCTGGCTCTGAACTTGGACCCTTGAGCATCTGGGCACCGTGGAGTCCAGGGCTTCAGAGGCACCTTTGTATCGCTCATGCAATGGCCACCACTCAACCCTCCAGCAGCCCCAGAAGGTGAGCTGGGAGTGACCAAGGGGCCAGGAGCTGCCTGGGAGTGTGGTGGCCCTGGAGCGCATGTGTTTCGAGAGCACTGGCTGGGCTTGGCTCTTTCTCAGCCCAGCTGGTGCAGAGGGCCCCTCCATGTGGCTTGGTCTTTCCCTGATGGTTAGAGTAGACAGTGTTTCCAAATAACCCACTAAGCTACTCGCATCAGGAGTTGCCATTTGCAAATGTTGCCGCTGAATTTTTCAGTGAGGTGTAGGTCCTCCGGGGGAGCTGTGCCTGCTCACCTCGTGGGCACCCCCCTGCAGCAAGTGCCAGGCACCCAACGCCAAATCCGGGGGCTCCATGCTCTGAAGAGCCCGGCCAGGTGCAGGTGCAGGAGGACTCTCAAAGGGCAGTGTGACTGTATGCTTGGGAGCGGCCCCCTTCTGGCTTGAGCTGCGCCACAGCATGGGCAAGGCCCCCAGGATCTCTAGTAGGGCTGGACCCAGGCTGTCTGGAGGGCTGCCTCCTGGGGACTGCCTGCAGGTGCTTGGATTGACCAGGTGCATTTGAATTGCACTAGAATGCACTTGGCCCACAGCCCTCCCTGGCCCTGTGCGCTCAGGTGTGTTTGGAAAGCACGACTCTCCATAGTGGCCCTTCCCAGGGAGGGGCGCTTTCATCTCTGCCAGGACAAGCAGGAAGGCAGAGTGCCTGGAACTGGGTGCCTCAGCTTTGGCCAGGCTGTGGACAGGGTCCTGGGTAAAGGCCAGGGTGTATGCAGCAGACATCCCTTACCCGGGCTACACACCTGAGGACATACCTGTCATGGAGATAGCAGCTTAGGGGTAGTTTTTAACTTTTTCTATTCTGAAATGTCACACACTTACGAAAAAGTATGCAAAACAAATATGCAGATTGTCATATTATCACTAAGTGGACACCTGAGTAACCAGTTCCCAGGTCACGATATGGAACACTGCCAGCCCCCAGCAACCCCGCCCGCACCTGCTTCAGTGCCGCCGCTTGGGAGGCACCCCTCACCCTCTCTCTTGCTTCATTGTCTGAATATGTGACTCTGAAATGTATAGACTAGTTTTGCTTATTGTTTTTAACTTAAAAAAGTAGGACCATATGTGCACGCCTATGTTCATTGCAGCACTATTCACAATAACAAAAAGATGGAAACAACCTAAGTGCCCATCAACAGATGAATGGATAAGTAGAATGTGGTACATACATACGATGGAATGCTACTCAGAGATAAGGAAAAATGAGTTCCCAAAACTGCTTGGAACATGGTTGAAGCTGGAGGACATTATGTGGAGCAAAATAAGTCAATCACAAAAAAACAAATATTGTGTGTTCTCACTTTTATGAAATGACATGGACAAGTAAATATACAGAAACTAATGTTCGTTAGTGGTTACCAGGGATGGGATGGGAAAAATATCTAGACAGTAGGCAGTTGTTATTTTTGGTGATGGGAAAGGTGACACCAAATGAGGATGAAGTTTGCACAGCTTGACCAGGGTAAATGATGTCACTAAGATGTACACAAGAAAAAAGGACCTGTTGGTAATTGCTAATGGCGTATATAATTTTGCAACAACAACCAAAAAATGTATGTGTGGCTATATATCTACGTATGTAGGCATATATGTATATAGGTATGTATATGTGGGTATATGTGCCTGTATATATATATATAGGTGTATGTATAGGTATATGCTTGTGTGTGTGTACATGCATATATATTCATATACATAATAAAACACATAGAGGGCACAGTTATGGATACTTCTTAGACATAACAAAACGCTACATGGAATTGGTTTTCTGGGTTTGAAGGATTAGGACTGTAGTCTCGTGGGTCAATGGGCATAATATAGTTCATAAAGATTATGTTGTACATCCTAGTTTGGTGAGTAGTGTTTGGGGTCTTAAAAGCTTTCGAGTAGCCGTCTAAGATACAACTGTTGGCCTCTACTCATCCAGAACAAAAGAGAAAGAAGGAAACAAAAGACTAAAAAAAAAAAAATTACCTCTATAGGACTAATAGTCTACATGAACCACAACCACAGCCTCATCTGTATCCTGAGACCAGAAGAACTAGATGGTGCCTGGCTACCTTTACCAGCCGTTCTAATCAGGGCCACAGTAGATGGATCCTAATAGAATGGGTTAAAAATATGGAATAGAACCTCAAATTCTTAAAAAATCCAGACTTATGGACTGGTTAAGACTAGAGGACTCCTGGAGACTATTGCCCTGAGAAACTCTTTAAACCTTGGACCAAAACAAGCCCCTGAGGCCACCTTTTAGCTAAGTTAACAGATTGGCTTACAAAATAAAGACTATCATCTGTAAGAACTGTGTTCATTTAAAAAATCATCTATATGAGACTAAACGGTCAACCATTTAAAACAAAGATGAGAATGTAAGGAGACAAGGAAACTCAATTAATGGAAACAGAACAACGAGAACTGAAGTAATGAGAATGTTCACGCATTGTGAAGAATGTAACCAATGTCACTGAACAATTTGTGTAGGAATTGTTGAATGGGAACTTAAACTGCTATGTAAA